TTGTTTATTTTTTTCAAGGAGGTTCTTAACCAAGACCAACAGAAAAGTGCAATTTTTGCCATAAAGTGTAGCAATAGCATATTTAGGAATATAGTACATTTCAGAGATTCAGGTAGCCTATAGGTAGGTAGACCTTCTGTAAACTATAACACTTTGTTTTTTAAGTAAAACACAATACTTTCAAGTACATTCAGAACATTGGAAACCCTGACTATTAGAAAACATCTCTCTGTTGCTTCAGAGGCCATAACAGACTTTGTTGATTTACCAACAGTTGATTTAAAAAATCTAATCAATTTCAGTCCAACTCTCTCAATAACCTTGGCCAAAACAATAAACAGTTCAACATAAAGTGCCAGTTGCACCAACAACGTAATAAATAGTTCAACATAAAGTGTACCATTTAAAATAAAATAAAAAAGTGCCAGTGATTGACCTCAATCCCTCCTATTCTTCCAATATCCTGATGAAAAATAAAATCTCTCTGTTGCATAGGCCACTGTTTGATCAACGCGAATTGGGTGTGGGTCCTTGTACTCCGAGTAGGGCTAACGTCCACGCTAGCTTCCACGCTAGCTGCTATATGTTTTGCATTGAGGTGATACTTGAGGCTTGATGTGCTGCGGTGATATGCGAATTCCTATTTGCATAATTTGCAAACAACCGTGCTCTTATTGACGCTTCCATCCGTCCGTTTTTTAAAACAAAATGTCCCATTCACGGGGCCAACCAAAGCGGTCTCATCAGCTTCTTCGTTCATGTTTGACTATTGTTCACTGTGGTTTGTTGTTGTCTGAAGTCATGAACGTTAGTTGGTGCTCCAGTATAATCGGTACCCCTGAAACTCATCCAGTGAGAAACGTTCCGCGGTGCAAAAATAAGTGCGATTAAAATGCGTTAATTTTTGTGTAATTAATTAATCTTAATTAACGTGTTAAAGTCCCGGCCCTAATATATATATATGCAGGATACTGAACTATTAAGGAAGAAGTCATTGGTGAAATATTTCTAAACGGGGCATGTACGCCTTATTTGAGATATTTTCATATTTAAGCATTAATTATTGTCATTGAGAGGCAACTGGGCCAGTTATTTAATAATGTACTTTTACCATAACAAGAAAAGTTTCAGTCTGGTCAGAAAATCTGTATAATTTCAGTTATTTATGTTACTGTTTTCCATTTTAATGAGGTAGCGCTATGACGCCACTGTTTAAAAGGCCAGTATGGGGGAGCATTCCAGGGCTTAGCGCTCCTGAATGAAGTGTGTTGGCGAACGCAACCTATACTAATCCCTCCCTTATTCCAAGAGGCTTTGTCGGGTATGTGAGCAATCATGCTCCTGTTCAGCAGTCACAGCTATCCAGAATCCACTGGGTTTACTCCAGGGTACATTTCAAGGGTATGGATCAGTGGACATATTGCTTAAGCCTTTATTAATGTTAGTTGGCTTGGTTACTTCCTGTTGGCGATAAGAGAAATGTGTTGTTGAAAATGAGAAAAGAAGAACAACCTGGTAAAAGAAGTGTTGCTTTGCTATATCTATCTTTTGATCCAAATACATGACTCCCTCATTTCATTTCCCTGCTCTCATGTCACTTAGAGTGCTAGCGTTTCCTGTATCTGGTAAGGCTCAAACTACATAAGCAATGTTGAAGTATGCAGTCAATTATGCACAGAAATACCGGAGCTTCAACACTTGAAGGTGCTGAAGTCTGAGGAAAGTATACTGTCAGGCATATCAAATACATCCCTTCAACTTTAGCTCAAAGCTGTCATGAATTCAAGCTAAGCAGGACTTGACTTAAGCAGCACAGTATTGAGCTCAACAGATGGGGAGCAAATAGGAATCGTGAAATATATCGTCTTCCCTGTGGAGAGACATCACAGTGTTGCAGCTCTGCTGCACCAAATCATCACAGTGTGTAGTATTGCTCGTTGTGCAAAATAGCCTTTCACTTCCAGACAAAAATTGTGACATTTTAAACCTCAAATCCAAATACTAGTGTTTCAATTTGTTTGACATTTGTATTTACTCTTTATTATTGTCTTGATCGCCTGTTGTACTTAAGTTACACAAGATGCATGATCTAGACCTGAAGTGCCCCAGAAATTAAAAGGGCTTTTTTAAATCCCATTTAAATGTAAATAATGATTGATAAAGTGGTTAGTTTTCCTTTAAAATCCCCTATATGGAATGTACATTTCATGATAAACAATACTGTTTGGTTTAACTCGTAGCATTGCATCACAAACCACCAGTGTAGAAAGCCATGTGATCTAAGGATTATTTTGTAACAGGTTTGTTCACCAAGAGCTCACCTGTCATTCAAAATGAGTCATCCCAGTGAAATGTTGTCTCTTTTAATGAAGCCATGCCTCAAAGTACCAGTCTATCATGGATTCAAATACCCTGATCTTTTTTCCCCCCACTTCTTTTAAAATCTAAGGAAAGATGCAAGGCAAATGCCGTTTTAATGATGAAATCAAAAATCTGATTTCATGGTGTACCACACTGCCATTCTCGACCTTTGATTTCGAAATCCTCCGTCCACCACCGCTTTGTCTAACTTCTGCTCCCCTTGTCCCTTTTAGGACCACTGGTTTCTCCGAACTCTCTCCCCAACAACCTGGATGGCAACAAGGCTGTGGAGAGGAGACCGTCCAAAGTAGGGGTCAGTAGAGAGGGCAGCAGTGTCGACTTCAGCAAGGTAACCTAGCCACAGTACTGAGCACAGAAACAGTCCTTCATGGTGGAGGGCCCATGACTTCATCAGTGTCTTTTCTTCAGTTTCTGGACTTCCACAGACATTTCAATGGTCTGTGTTGAAAACTGCCAGTTTGAGAGCCGCCATCAAATACCCTTTTTCTTCTTGGCTCAGTAAGAAGCCTCTCCAGACACTGCTTCAATAGACTATGAATAAACAAAATAAAACAGTTCTGTGGCTGTTTAGTTTGGAAAATGTCTCCCTTCATCCTCCCACGTAGTGCCTCATCCATTCAATAAAATGGCTCGCTGACATAAGTAGTTATCATTATAAAACCCTCCGTAATCACTGCCAAAAAATAAGGTGCAGTGTTTATATGAGTCAGGATACAAAAGAGGGATGAAGGCACAGTCTGTTCTACACAGGGATACAGATGTTCTATCCCTGTGCTCTGATCTGTATTTAGCTTTGCACATAAGAGATATTTATCCAGGAACATAAAACGGCAACGGACAATCTTTGCTCAGTACTATGTAGTAGAATATGTAGCTACTTTTTTTATGTTTTAGTTATCATAGTATCCAAACGACCTGCTGCCAAAATGTCTTCATTATTTCTGTTTGCATGTGTGTTTTCCAACATTTTTCTCTATTTTTATGTATATCTGATTTTTGGGAGAATTTAGTTTGTTCTATGTTTTTTTTTCTCCAGGTGGATATGAATTTCATGAAAAAGATTCCTCCGGGTGCTGAAGCCTCCAATGTCCTTGTTGGAGAAGTGGACTTCCTGGAGAAGCCCATAATTGCTTTCGTACGACTGTCCCCTGCAGTCCTCATCACAGGCCTCACAGAGGTGCCTGTGCCCACCAGGTATTATCATTTGGAGTACAAGGATGTTGAAGGGTTATTTTCGATAGCAGTCGCCAAATCTGGCAGCAATTTAAAGCAAACTGACAGTCATTTGTAACAGCCCTGTTCACATGGGACTAATATAACCTGGGGATTAACTCTGGTTCTCACCGCAGTAAATCTGTGTCTGCAACACTGCTTTCCATGTCTTTAATCTCTAAGGTAAGCCTAAGAGCCTGTAGCTTCACACCTCTAAAGTAGAGGGACCACTCTGGTTTAATTGTATACTTACAAATACTTTAGTTTTGCATTAATTGAGGTAGCATAATACATGAGTACATTGAGTCATGATCATTTCAATATATTCCACCGATAAACAATGGTGGAAATTAGGTTTGATATTTATTGAGATGGAAGAAATTGTGTACAATTTTTTAAAAGAGTTAACAAATCAAATAATGCAGTGAATATGGTATGTACTGGTCGGTGTAGTTTATGTTTCATCTCATTCATGATTACTTTTGTTATTCTAAGGTTTCTATTCCTGCTTTTGGGTCCTCATGGCAAAGGGCCCCAGTACCATGAGATTGGCAGGTCCATGGCCACACTAATGACAGATGAGGTGAGAGAAAGAAAGAAAGATGGATCCTTTTTTAACTTCAGTTTGACACGTTTTAACATTTTATCCAGAAATAGCTGGATTTGTTGGGGGGGATTTCAAGTGCATTTATGCAGGAGGATGCAAATGTATATCTACAAAAGTCATTTAATAACTCCTATTAATAATCGTTTTGTAGATTTTCCATGATGTGGCATACAGGGCCAAAGACCGAACGGATCTGCTGTCGGGGATAGATGAGTTCCTGGATCAGGTCACTGTCCTGCCTCCTGGAGAATGGGACCCCACAATCCGGATTGAGCCCCCAAAGAATGTCCCTTCTCAGGTTGGTGATTCTCTGTCAGATATTGCTTAATATGATTGGGGCAATATTGCATACAAAGACATGAGTGTTTTACAGAGATGTGAAAATCAAACGCCTTGAACAACAGACATACATTTTCCTGGTGCAGAGATCTTTAACCAGCTGCATACTCACAGATAGCCAGCAGACTAACACAGCGCACTTATCAGACGTCACATACTTCATGAACTCTGCTCTCACAAAGTGTAACCTTGATGTTTTTCGTCGTTTCTCTTGATGTATATTTCTGTATATCACACTTTACTCCACACCACTATTATCACACAGAGAGTGCCCCCTTATCGATTTGCAGCATCATGACCGCAAAGACATGTAATTGTATGCAACTGTATCATATTGAAATGCCCTTTGATCTGCAGATGAAGAGAAAGATACCTCCACAACCCAACGGCAATGCGTCTCCATCTGGAGAAATGGAGAAGGAAGATGAGCACAACACGGGGCCCGAGCTGCAGAGGACGGGGAGGTGAGTCCAACACCTCTCCTCTGTCTCCACAAAGACAAGAGGTTACATCAGAAGTTACAGACACAAATATCTCTGTTTCATTCCTTGACTCATTTCATTTCATTTCATTTCAAACCTTTATTTAGACAGATTGGTCCCTTGAGATCATCGATCTCATTTACAAGGGAGACCTGCATCATTTAGTTCCACATGAAACATAAAAACAACATACAAACAAACAACAGAGGATATCATATTTACATATTCAACATTTACAAATACGCAGAGTGTCAGAAAGCATTTCATTTAGACGTGCCTTAAATACATTCAGAGAAAATGGACTTGCTTTATAACTGTTAGAGAACATCCTAAATGAATCCCTCCATCTAAGCCTGTTCATTTCTTGGCACACCATTTAGCTCAAATGATTATTGATAGTTACTCGCTCCAGGTATTTCTATTAACATCCCTTGTGTTTGTTGATAGAGAATTATTAGATCATTAAAGTGTGTCCTAGTTGGATTCACAACTTCATTAGCACCAGTAGGCATGTTTAATATATCATGTTGATATGAGACAAGTGCTTCTTGTTAACAAGTGCTGTAGGAGGAAACTCCTCTTAAAGACTTAGGAGCTCATTTAACTTCTTCAGAGGGATCAATAAAGGTTCATCTCATCTTCTCTTTTGATAAAGATGAGATGAATTACAAGACATTACCACAGTATGTCTTTTTTCCTTGTGCTTGATTTGTGCTCAGTACGAGCTTTTTGAATTATTTCTGAGGAAATGTACAATGTTATAAACTCAACAACGGCACTATATGGATTTAGCATATCTTCTGTACTGTGTGAACTAAGATGCTGACATTTCTGAAAAAAGATTTCCGTGTCCCTGGAGCCCGGGCCACACAGCAAGAGAGAGAATGTGTTTATTTGAAACCTCGCACACGCACACACACACACATCACATCAGTTTTGAGCCAATGTATTATTTACAGATTCACTCTGCTTTTCACCGCTCCTATAAAAGGCTCGTGCTACGAGGGAGCGACTGGAGGCCAGTGGAGACTATGGAAGAGTAGGAGGCTAATGTAAAGAAAGCTATCAGAAACAGCAGCTGTGTAGGAGACACAGCAGGGGTCATGGAGGCAGCAATAGAGGTTATCCAGAGGTGTGGGGAAAAGAAAATGAGAGAAAGCCTCACAGCAGAGCAATTGGACAGGTGTCAGGATGGAAAGGAAGCTATACAAGTGAGAAATGGAATCCCTCAGAGGAGAAGGGATGAAGAGAGGAGAAGGCGGAACGATCACAGCGCCATCTATGTTTCAGTTTGATGAAGATTAAGGTCGACTTGAAAGGTTCCTAAGCAATAACACTGGCTGTGCTTTTAATTAGTGTTAAAGCAAACATGCATTTCAAATGTGTAAAAATGACCTGAACACCTCGTAAATAATGATTATAGCAAATTACAGTTTTAATCACCTTTTTTTATATTAGGAAACGCGGCATTAAAGTCCAACAGAAAAGTAATTTTTTTAAAACATAATATTATTACAATGTCTAGTGTATAAGACATGCCAGCTTTTATCATTTGATTTTTCAACCATAACCTTAGAAACCACAGTTGGGTGTTACCTTTGCACTCATTCTGAACTTAAAAGTAAACTTCTTATTTGATGTTACACTAAATGAAACGCATTCACTTGCCTGTTTCTATTCTCCTCACTAAACTCACTGATGTTTCATTAATTACTTGATTTTATCATACAATATCACTGCAAGCATTACGTATACTTGAATATTCAAACGGCCTCTTCCAGGATATTTGGAGGTCTGTACCAGGACATCAAACGGAAGCTCCCGTTCTACTGGAGCGACATCAGAGACTCCTTCAATCTGCAGTGTCTAGCCTCCGTCCTCTTCCTCTACTGCGCCTGCATGTCCCCTGTCATCACTTTTGGAGGGCTGCTTGGCGAGGCAACACACGGCAACATAGTGAGTCCAAAAGCTTGGCAACCTAAAAGTCAATACTTGTACTATTCATAACCCAGTGTGAATCAAAATCTAACCCTGTGTTGTGCAAGTGCCATTTTGCCATTTTTCACTTAACTTTTCTATTTGATATAGTACATTGTGGTGGATGTCTCACTGAGTTCTTCGCTCACTGTCCAATGTAGGATATGCAGGTTATTTATTTTCCCATGTTAGCACACTGCTGCTGTAAAGTGTATTTTGTTTTTTTACGCTCTCTCTGTCTGCCTTTCTCTCCTGTTTTACCCAGAGGTCCTTACTAGAACAGGGACTGTTAGCATAGCGCAGTCTGTGTGCTGGTGTATGTGATGCATCTGAGTAAACTCAGCAGTGGAGGGCTGTACACACACATGACTTTGGACAAGTCATCAGGGTGGACCAGTTTATCTAGCCTCTCAGACGCAGCCCAGATGTCTGTTTAATCCAAACTTTCTGTTCTCGTCGGGTCTCTTCTTCACCTCTTGTTTTCTCCTTCAGTCTCTCCCTTTCTATCCTCCTTCGGGCAGTTTCACCTCCCACATCCTCCCTCACACCCTCCCTCTCCTCTGTGTCTACAGAGTGCCATAGAGTCTCTGTTTGGGGCGTCACTTACAGGAGTGGTATACTCCCTCTTCGCAGGCCAGCCCCTCACTATTCTTGGCAGCACAGGCCCTGTATTAGTGTTTGAGAAGATCCTCTTCAAGTTCTGCACGTACGTTTAAGAAACTTCACTTTTTCTGTGATATGATACCAAGACAAACTACTGATAAGACTAAATACTCAGCAATATATGCAGCATTTTGTTTTAAAGTGAATTGATTTTCCAATTACCAAATAGTTTGCATGTCTATTTATTCAGTTTATACCCCGTATTTGCAGATTCACTGCAGTTAGAAAACGGTTTTCTCTCCCGCTTGTTATACGCTCTGACTAGTATGTTTAATAATACTAATTTAATCCAATAAATCACTCTATTCTAAATAAAGATTTTGTTTGAATCTATTTATTTTAGGAAGTAGACAGGAAGACATAGAATCTTTGAATACAATATAATTATATATAAAATATAATTTGGTACAGCCCTTAATAAAAACATGTTTACCTCTATCCTGTATATTCATCCCTGTCGTCCGTCTTCTTCTCCCAGTGACTACGGCCTGAACTACCTGTCCCTGCGGACCAGCATTGGTCTGTGGACGGCCTTCCTCTGTCTGGTGCTGGTAGCCACAGATGCTAGCTCCCTGGTGTGCTACATCACCAGATTCACAGAGGAGGCCTTCGCTGCCCTCATCTGCGTCATCTTCATCTACGAGGCTCTGGAGAAGCTCTTTCACCTGGGAGAACACTTCCCAGTCAACACGCACAACCACCTGGACAATCTTACCATGTACTCGTGAGTACCAACATTTCAGTTACTGTTCTCATTCATTATGCTTTCAAAGTGTAAGTGATCTAGGAATTTCATAGTTTATTCTTTTATATTATAAGTAAAGATAGAAGTGTATTTGTTCCGAGTGGAGGTGGTTGCAGTGGAGCAGAGCTCATCCCTGTACAGTCCCAGTTTAAAGGTAGAAGTATACAACAAATGACTGCCTGTATAAAAGTGTCAGTGTTGATGCAAATTTGTATTGATCACAAGTTTGGTGTTGCTCTGGCTATGGATCGGAAGGTTTGACATTAAGTAGTGTATTATGCACATAAATAGTACCGTATTAGGAACACACTGCTCTTGTTGCTGCGAGCTGTAATTGCAGGGGCTCGAGCTGTTCCCACAGCTGAAAGGAAAATCACCTCCTTGCAAAATAACACATTTAAAAATAACTGATGCTAGCAGATCTGCTGCAGCCTCTGCTTTTAATTAACTTTTAAAGTGAACCAAATAATGTTTTCCCCTTACGTAGTTCACTCACCATTTGTTCTCTGGTCCCCAGGTGTGAGTGCTCTCCACCGGTCAACGCCACGGATCAACTCGTGCAGGAGTGGAACAACACGGGATACACCCCCGACTCTATCCCATGGAGCAGCCTCAACGTGACGGTGGGACGGCACACAGTGACCTCCAGTGCGATGTGCAGGAATCACACTTGCATGAATAGGATGTGTGGCACAAACAGACATCATCTCAAACATCCTGCTTTTAGAACTGAAGAACATCCACTACCAGAACATCCTCAGTACTGATACACCTTTTTTATAATTGTTTTATTACAATACTAACCTATGACTCCTCTTTCTCTAGATGTGTCACACACTCCATGGAGAGTTCATAGGTTCTGCCTGCGGTCAGCACGGGCCCTATATCCCAGATGTTCTCTTCTGGTCCATCATCCTCTTCTTCACCACCTTCTTCCTGTCTGGCTTTCTTAAGCAGTTCAAGACGGAGAGATATTTCCCAACCAGGGTGAGATACTTGCTAGATTTGTTACGAGCACTCTCATTGTACTTCTCTTAACATCACAAATGTGGCTTTGCCGAACGAGGTCAAATTAAATACAAACGATATCTTCCCATCCAAACAGGGTCTTTATTCTACTTCTCTGTTCATGTAATAGATTTAGGTTAAAGCTTCTCACGCTATGTAAATGTTGACATAGTGTCAGTCATTGGTATGTCGGAACAGGCTTGTGTACAGAAAGAAAAGATCTTCTCGTTTCCTCCCACGCAGATCCAGCTAGTCTGTCATCACATGATCCTCTGTGTAGGCAGCTGCTGTATTGTCGTGCTGTTACTGTTGACATTAAAGTAATTATTACTCATTGTATCTCAACAGTGACCTGAAGTAAAAGGCTGTTTGCATTAGTGACTTTTTTTAAATAGTGGACATGCAAAGCCGCAGTTCCTAATAGATACCTTCAATCGTGTTGCTTGTGTGTCGTTTAGGTGCGATCCACTATCAGCGACTTTGCTGTGTTTATCACCATCATGGTCATGGTGCTGGTGGACTATCTCATGGGGATCCCCTCTCCTAAACTTAAAGTCCCTGACCGCTTTGAGGTAGGCAAAGGTCTTAATGTACATTTAGTAGTAAATCTAACGCTCACATCATCAACTAATGACTGTATGTGGCTCATTCCTGCCTTTTTCCCGGCAGCCTACTTCAAAGAACAGAGGCTGGCTAATGGACCCGTTAGGAGAGAATCCCTGGTGGACGCTGCTGGTGGCGGCACTTCCCGCTCTGCTCTGCACCATCCTCATCTTTATGGACCAACAGATCACTGCAGTCATCATCAACCGCAAGGAGCACAAGCTCAAGGTCAGCCTGTGGAGGTTTACTTTTGACAGTGTGATATCTTTGAGTTACACACGTTTGTTTCTGGAGCAAGTATCCTGAAAAGTTGTTTTATATTTTGCGCGACGGATAGACAATCTCTTCTTTAATATCAAGCCTTGCAGCATCAATACACAATTTATAAAAATTCCAAAACACATTAGTCATGTTTGGAATGTAATGTTCATGTTGAAAGAAATGTATTATTGTACCAGATTCGTTCAATTCGTTTAAATATTTGAATAATATTAAGAGCTTTTCCTCTCCCTTCTTTGCGGTCATCTTTAATTATGGTTGAGGCTAACATATTCTTGTATTTGTATGCTTCTACATTCTAGAGTGCTGCTATTTTTTTAATTGTATTTAATCCGCCTCGAAAACTCAAACACAAAACATTTGGTGTTCTTTTTCCAAGGTTGAATACAAATCTTTTAGCGAGTGTGCTCCTGAATCTGTTTTTCGTACTTCTATTTCTACTTGAGGAGAATATTTCTCAAACTCATTGTCTCTTGTCTCCCTGTGTATCCTACAGAAAGGCTGTGGCTATCACCTGGATTTGATGATAGTGGCAATAATGCTGGGTGTGTGCTCCATCATGGGCCTGCCGTGGTTCGTGGCTGCTACCGTCCTCTCCATCTCGCACGTGAACAGCCTGAAGGTGGAGTCGGGCTGCTCCGCTCCGGGAGAGTCGCCAAAGTTCCTGGGCATCCGGGAGCAGCGGGTCACTGGGTTCTTGATCTTTATGCTCATGGGTTGTTCGGTTTTTATGACATCGGCACTCAAGGTGAGACAAAGAGAAACAATGTAATTATATCATATTTTAAATCACCCTGAATAAGACATTTATCTAAGTAACTACCATGTGCTTAGGGAGTCATCTGTTAAATCTGTCTTCTCAACCTGGTGCAGAAAAGACCAGGTTTTTTTCTTGAACTGAAAGTGAATTTCCACACGGCATCTATTGCACGTCTGTCCGTCCTGGGAGAGGGATCCCTCCTCTGTTGCTCTCCCTGAGGTTTCTCCCATGTTCCCCTTTAAACTGTGGGTTTTCTCTGGAAGTGTTTCCTTGTACGATGTGAGGGTCTAAGGACAGAGGGTGTCGTATTGTCATACTGATATTCTGTACACACTGTGAAGTCCACTGAGACAAATGTAACATTTGCGATATTGGGCTATATAAATAAACATTGATTGATTGAATTGATTTGTTCTATAATTATACTTTTACTCGTTACAGTTCATTCCAATGCCAGTCCTGTATGGAGTCTTTCTCTACATGGGTGTCTCTTCCCTCAAAGGAATTCAAGTAAGACTTTACTCTGCTAGAATCTGTTCCTTTTTTAATCCAAACAGAACTACATTCATGAGCTTTTGGTAAAGCTTTCCCCTTGTAGTTCCAAACATTTGATCCTAATTCAGAGTCCTTAAAATATTTAGTTGAATGTGCTCCCTCTTGTGATTTTCCCCTTTCTTTGATCCCCCTTTGTGTTTGAATTATTTTTCATTAGCATTTTTGTACCTCTCTCACTGGGCCTCTGATTTTCTCTGTAGTTCTTCGACAGAATAAAGCTGTTTGGCATGCCGGCCAAGCACCAGCCGGACCTGATCTACCTGCGCTACGTGCCGCTGTGGAAGGTCCACATCTTCACCCTGGTGCAGCTCACCTGCCTGGTGCTGCTCTGGGTCATCAAGGCCTCCACGGCCGCCGTTGTGTTTCCTATGATGGTAATGACCTCAAAGACAGATATGGATTCATGATAGTTAACGGTTTACTGTCACATTACAGGGTTCAGCTGTAAAAGGATGAATTACAATTTCTAATAATACCATGATATTGTTTTTTTGTCTATGTGTAATTAGGTTCTGGCGCTGGTCTTTATCCGAAAGCTTCTAGACTTTTTCTTCACAAAGAGAGAGCTGAGCTGGCTGGATGACTTGATGCCGGAAAGCAAGAAGAAGAAAGAGGACGACAAGAAAAAGAAAGCACGAGAAAAGCTGGTAAAACGTTATTTTCTTTAACAAGCTCTTAGTTACAGTTATTTTAAAGGAGACCTATCATGCTATATTTGAATAATATATTGTAGGGCAATACCTATATAAGGTAAAATACCAAACTGATCATGCTTTTTTAGCCATGCCTCATTTCGATCTATTTTGCTCTCCTCCACCTTGTCTTTGCATGCGCTGCAGCTGACCACGCCCCCCTGTAAAGGAGGGGGCTGAGTTACGAGCGTCATTTTACCATGCTGTTACCATGGGCAACCTCTCATTCCCCTGATTGGTGGAGAGTTGGCCATATAGGTGGAGCTCCTCGTCACTGACATCAGGCTATTTTCAAATCTGTATCAGTCTGTTTCAGATCTGTTGCAGCCCTGTTTTTAGAGATTTGGGTATGGAGGAAAATAGAGAGGGTTGTGTTTTCTGACACTTGGTGAGTTCCCTAGACACCGGGGACACATATTCATGTATAAAAGACGCACAAAGGTGCATTTTGCATGATAGGACCCCTTTAAGTGTCCAAAAATAACTGTAACAATGTTGCTCTGTGGGAATAATGAGTTTGAGTAATGAGTGATAATTGAGCATGTTGGGACACTGATGAG